GCCTGTAATCCCAGCACTTTGGGAGGCCGAGGCGGGTGGATCACCTGAGGTTGGGAGTTCAAGACCAGCCTGATCAGCATGCAGAAACACTGTCTCTACTAAAAATACAAAAAATTAGCTGGGTGTGGTAGCACATGCCTATAACCTCAGCTACGTGGGAGGCTGAAGCTAGAGAATGGCTTGAACCTGGGAAGCGGAGGTTGTGGTGAGCCAAGATTGTGCCATTTCACTCCAGCCTGGGCAAGAAGAGCAAAACTCCATCTAAAAAAAAAAAAAAAAAAAAAAAAATGGAGGGGCCTGGGCTCAGGGTCTCACACCTGTAATCCCAGCACTTTGGGAGGCAGAGGCCGGCGGATCACGTGAGGTCAGGAGTTCGAGACCAGCCTGGCCAACATGGAGAAAACCATCTCTACCAAAAATACAAAAAATTAGTCGAGCATGGTGGCGGGCACGACCACACCTGGTTACCTTTTGTAACTTTGGTAGAGACAGGGTCACCATGTTGGCCAGGCTGGTATTTTATTTACTATTTTTGAGACCAGGTCTCGCTCTGTGGCCCAGGCCAAGTGCAGTGGTGTGATCTTGGCTCACTGCAACCTCGACCTCCCGGCTCCAGCAATCCTCCCATCTCAGGCTCCTTAGTAACTGGGACTACATAGACAGGCACTGCCACACCCAGCTAATTTTTGTATTTTTGGTAGAGACAGGGTTTCGCCATGCTGCAGAGGCTAGTCTTGAACTCCTGGGCTCAAGCCATCCATCTGCTTCCTCCCAAAGTGCTGGGATTACAGGTGTGAGACATCACATCTGGCCCCTACAAATCAAATAGCATAAAATTCAAGTTATATAATAGATTTTTAAAAAACCTCTTTGTGAGGAAAAAATTGCTACAGAAATGTAAGAATTAATTTACCTATTGGGGAACTCACTCTTTTGTGGGACTAGAGAGGTGCCCTCAGGAACTTTCCAAAGGGAAAATAAAATCATAAAATTCAGAAATTTGACAGGACTGAAAATATCCTATAATTTAAAAAAAATTACCCATTTAAAAAATGTTCAGTTGATTTTTCTCCAAAAGCTTTTTACTTGCTGGACTAAGTTCTCTTTGTCATGAAACCTGCCACTACCCTGTCCAACTTGCCAGTTTCCCCCAAACCTTGGAGCCATGCTGGGTCTGGATGTGAAACACAGAGGTAGAACCATGGAGGATCGTAGAAGGAGGCTACCAGCCCCTCCCTCAGGACCAACCACCAACAGTGGTCTTTGACCTGCCCCAAAGACACATGCTGAATCCACCAATGGATCGTCCAGAGGCAGGTATTACATTTGATTTCTAGCCTTGATTTTGCTCTTTTGTAGTATGGAAAGAACAGAGTTAATTTTTATTTCGTATGTGGATTATGACTCATTGGGGATTTGCCCATGCAAATGGTCCTCCCCAAAAGTAGATAATAATTTAACGACAACCATAACCCTCAGGATTATTAGCTCAGACTCTAAATAAAAAACTCTTCATTCGTAGAAGTACTTATTCTCCTTTGCATTGACTTCCAGAGAATTTCTTAAAGACTTGAAAAGAGTCTTCTTAGTTTGCTGTTTGATTTATCCTTCTCTTCACAAGTCAGGTATGCATGACTCCCAGCAGCAAAAGAAGGTTAGGAAACATTGTTGAATGCCTTTTTGCCACATGGGTTGTGTGATGCTAGGCAACTTTACCTTCCTCCTCAGTAGTGCCCTCCTCTTATATTCTTAAAGTTTTGAAATATTTGAAGAAATAGTAGGACATGGTTGTTAAGAAATGAGACTCTTGTTCTGGGAGTTACCAGGGAGAAAAAGAAATAAAGTTAAGAAGTAAAAGATTTTTAAAAATAAAAAAGAGAAAATTATTATTATTTTCGTAGAGACGGGGTCTCACCATGTTGCCCAGGCTGGTCTCAAACTCTTGAGTTCAATGATCCACCTGCCTCAGCCTCTCAAAGTGCTGGCATTACAGGCATGAGCCACTGCACCCAGCCCAAAGAGAGAAAAATAATCATAATAAAAAAAATCAGACTCTGAAGTCAGACCGTCTTCAAATCCCAGGATCACCGTTTACTACGTATGTGACATTGGGCAAGTTTCTAATCTCTGTACTTCAGTTTTCTCATCTGTAAAACAAGGATAATCATAGTAACAACAGGGTTGTAGGGTTGTCGAAATGACTACATTAGTTAATAGATGTAAAGAATCTAACAGTGCCTGTCACATAGTGTTTTCTGCTTACATATATATGTGTATACATATACACATATGTATACACATACATATGTGTAAAGAATAATATAACAACATCTGAGTCTTTACACATAAATGCTTACATTAAGCCACATGTGTTTTAGCTATTTTTTAAAGACCTTAAATATGGCCAGGTATGGTGGCTCACCGCTGTAATCCCAGCACTTTGGGAGGCTGAGGCGGGTGGATCACCTGAGGTCAGGAGTTCAAAACCAGCCTGGACAACACGGTAAAACCCCTTCTCTACTAAAAATACAAAAATTAGACGAGCGTGGTGGCACGCACCTGTAATCCCAGCTACTCGGGAGGCTGAGGCAGGAGAATCGCTTGAACCCAGGAGATGGAAGTTGCAGTGAGCCAAAATCACACCACTGCACTCCAATCTGGGTGACAGAGTGAGACTCTGCCTCAAAAAAGAAAAAAAAAAAGAATGAAAATATTACAGAAACAATTACGCCCTCCTAGTATCCCTCTTCTGTTACATTTCCTCCTTTTCTTTCCTGAGATAATCATTGTCCTGAATATCGATTATCCTGAAAGTTTTATTTATTTATTTATTTTGAGATGGAGTCTTACCTGTTGCCCAGGCTGGAGTACAGTGGTGTGATCTCGGCTCACTGCAACCTCTGCTGCCTGGGTTCAAGTGATTCTCCTGCCGCAGCCTCCCGAGTAGCTGGGATTACAGGTGCCTGCCACTGCATCTGGCTAATATTTGTAGTTTTAGTAGAGACGGGGTTTGACCATGTTGGCCAGGCTGGTCTTGAACTCCTGACCTCATGATCCACCTGCCTCAGCTTCCCAAAGTGCTGAGATTACAGGCTTGCACCACCGTGTCTGGCCTTTGAGTGTATGATTTATTATTAATCTATTACTTATCTTTTTTTTGAGACAGAGACAAACCAGAAACAAACCAGTGTCATGGGTGTGTGCATATGTCTAAGCTCATCAGATTGTACATATTGACTCTATGTAGGTTTATGTATATCAGTTACACCTCCATAAAGCTATTAAAAAAAAAAATGGTATCATATCGTGCAGATCCTCCTGCCACCACTCTTTTCATTCAACTTTATAGTATTTACTCATGTTGCCACCTGTAGCTACTTCAGCCAATTTAATTGGTGTAGGTGTTTCATTCATGACTATATCACAATTTATCTTCCTTGACTATATCACATGTTCTATACTATTGGACATTTAGATTGCTTATTATTGTTTTCTCTCATAAGTATTGTTGCAGTGTACTTTTTTTTTTTTTTTTTTTTTTTTTTTGAGATGGCGTTTCGCTCTTGTTACCCAAGCTGGAGTGCAATGGCGCGATCTCGGCTCACCGCAACCTCCGCCTCCTGGGTTCAGGCAATTCTCCTGCCTCAGCCTCCTGAGTAGCTGGGATTACAGGCACGCACCACCATGCCCAGCTAATTTTTTGTATTTTCAGTAGAGACGGGGTTTCACCATGTTGACCAGGATGGTCTCGATCTCTTGACCTTGCGATCCACCCACCTCGGCCTCCCAAAGTGCTGGGATTACAGGCTTGAGCCACCGCGCCCGGCTTACAGTGTACATATTTTTAATTTAAAAGAAAAATATTTTGAGACAGGTCTTGCTCTGTCACCCAGACTGGAGTGCAGTGGTGCAACCACAGCTCACTGCAGCCTCAACCTCCTGGGCTCAAATGATCCTCCCACCTCAGCCTCCTGAGTAACTTCGACTCCAAGTGCATGCCACCACGCTTGGCTAATGTTTTTACTTTTTTGTAGAAGGGGGTCTCACTATGTTGTCTAGGCTGGCCTCAAACTCCTGGGCTCAAATGGTCTTCCAGCCTTAGCCTTCCAAAGTGCTGGCATTATAAGGGTGAGCCAACATACCTGGCTGAAATGTACATACTTACATGTCTTCGTGGGCACATGTGTGAGAGTTTTCTAGAGCATATACCTAGAAATAGAATTGCTGGGATGTAGGGAAAAATACCTCTTCAACTTTCCTAGATACTGCCAAATTTTGACTATGCTTAGTGGTTGTCCCAGTTTTCACTTTCCCAGTAGAGAACGAGCAGTTCTCTGTCTCTTCACTGTTAGCAATAATCATTAATGTTGCCAGTTTCTTCATCTGTCAAAGGGAAATCCATATACTATGGTTGTACTTCCTAAAGGTCTTCTATAAACGAGTGGAATATCTTGTGAGATGTTGTTGCCCCCCTGACTGTTAGACATCATGCTAGGTGCTTTATATACATTCTCTCATTTAAGTCTCATGCTAACTATAGAAGGCAAGTATTAGAACAAGACTTAAAAGGGGTAATTAATTTATCTGGTATCACATGGCTGGTAGGTGACAGGGTGGGATTTGAACTTAAGTCTATTAGACTTCAAGGGCTCTTTCATTGCCCCAATGCTGAGCTGCATACATAATCTGTAGAAATATCACGACATCAACTCTAAGAATATGAATATTATACTTTAATTTTACATCAACAATGACACTGTGTAACAAACAGCACAGGGAAGAGGTAGTGGAGAGAGAGGATGGTCTGGATTCTGTTCCTTAACTAGCCTGTGTTTTAACAGCAGAGCCCCAGCAACCTAGAAGCACCTCTCCTAGCCTCTTAATGAAGTGCAAACAGGTGGGGAATTGGAAGTGAGAAGCTCAAAACTTAAAGGCGGCTGATGGCAAGCCTGGGGAGAGGCCTGGAAACGAGGGAGGCGCTGAGGGCTGTGAGGAATCCCCTAGCGCAGGTCTTTGGCAGAGAACATGCCCCTGGCCCTGCCAGGATGAGGTCCTTGGGGGTATCATACAGGTGCTCCTTGGAGGGGACTTCCAGGATGGCTGGGATAGAGCGCCGGTGGGTGTCCAAGGTGTGCCACACCATCTCTGTAATATACTGGTTGATGAGGATGATGCCAGTGTTGTCCCCATTTAGAAACTGCTGCAAAGTGTCTTCGATTTCACTGACGGTTGTATGCTTCTCTACCATCAGGAAATTGGGATAGTGTTTCTTGTTAAGCTCCACTACGCCACCCGACAGGAAACCAGAAACAGTGTCTTGGTCTCCAAACTGTCTTTTTAGATAAGGAGTTGAGAACTGAAATGTACTTTTGTGTACATGAAAGTTACAGAGCTTGGCGAGGCTCAGTGGCTCATGCCTGTAATCCCAGCACTTTGGGAGGCCAAGGCGAGCGAATCACCTGAGGTCAGGAGTTGGAGACCATCCTGGCCAATATGTTGAAACCCTGTCTCTATTAAAAATACAAAAATCAGCTGGGTGTGGTGGTGCATACCTGTAATCTCAGTTACTTGGGAGGCTGAGGCAGGAGAATCACTTGAACCCAAGAAGTGGAGGTTGCAGTGAGCCCAGATCATGCCACTATACTCCATCCTGGTCAACAGAGCGAAACTCTCAAAAAAAAAAAAAAAAAAAAAAAAAGAGAGACAGGGTGTCTCTATGCTGCCCAGGTAGGTCTCAAGTTCCTGGCTTCAAGCAATCCTCCCACCTGGCGCTCCCAAAACATTAGGATTACAGGCATGAGCCACTGCACTGTGTCTACTTTTTTATATGTTTAAAATTTTCTGGCTGTGTGTAGTGACTCATGCCTGTAATCCCAGCACTTTGATGTGGGTGGATCACCTGAGGTCAGGAGTTAAAGACCAGCCTGACCAATGTGGTGGCGAAACCCCGTCTACTAAAAATACAAAAATTTGCTGGGTGTGGTGGTGTGCTCTTGTAGTCCCAGCTACTCGGGAGGCTGAGGCAGGAGAATGGCTTGAAACCGGGAGGTGGAGATTGCAGTGAGCCGAGATCATGCCACTGCACTCCAGCCTGGGCAACAAGAGGAAAACTCTGTCACACAAAAAATAAAATAATATAAATTTTAAAACATTTCCATAATAAAAAATATAACTTTTTTTAAAAAAAGGTCTAGCATTATGCTTTAATGGCATATTTGTACATTTAGGTATTGAATGAATTTGGGTCTCTGATGTGAAAATAAAAACTTAATAATACAGTGTCTTTATAAAACATTTTATAGTTTGCAAAATATTTCCAGACTTTATCTCACAACTACTCTCAGAGGTAGACAGGACACATATTATCATCTCCATTTCAGAGAAAAGAAAGGTGAAGCTCAAAGCAGTAGATCTGGGACTTTAACCCAATTTTTAAACATGGAATTCAGTGATCTGCTCCTTTTATTAAAAATGGTTATAGCCCTATTGCTTTTTCTGATTATAAAAATAAGCCTGGGAAACAGTGAGACCATATCTCTGCTTAAAAACAAACAAAAAATGTAGCCAGGCATGGTGGTCTGCCCCTGTAATCCTAGCTACTCAGGAGGTTGAGATGGGAGGATCTCTTGAGCCTGGGTGTTTGAGGTTATACTGAGCCATGCTCATGCCATGCACTCCAGCCTTAGAGACAGAATGAGACCCTGTCTCTAAAATAATTATATATGTATATAATTTTAAAACAATTAAAACAAATTACAAAGAAGAAAAATGTGACCCCACTACACAGAGATAGGTATTGTTAACGTTTTGTATATTATTCTTTAAAATTTTTGGTTTTATTTTTATTTTTGAGATGGCGTCTCGCTGGCCCAGGCGTTTCTTCTGCCTCAGTCTCTGGAGTAGCTGGGACTACAGGTGCATTCTCCCATATCCAGCTAATTTTTGTATTTTGTATTTTTTTTTTAACAGTCTCACTCTTTTGCCAGGCTGGAGTGCAGTGACATGATCTCGGCTCACTGCAACCTCTGCCTCCCAGGTTCAAGCGATTCTCCTGCCTCAGCCTCTCAAGTAGCTGGGACTACAGGTGCGCCCCACCATGCCCGGCTAATTTTTGTATTTTTATTAGAGACAGGGTTTCACCATGTTGGCCAGGACGGTCTCGATCTCTTGATCTCGTGATCCGCCTGTTTCGGCCTCCCAAAGTGTTAGGATTACAGGCGTTAGCCATGGCACCCGGTCTAATTTTTGTATTTTTAGTAGAGTCAGGGTTTCACCATGTTGGCCAGGCTGGTCCTGAACTCCTGACCTCAAGTGATCCGCCCGTCTTGGCCTCCCTAAGTATTGGGATTACAGGTGTGAGCAACCATGCCCAGCCTGTTTTAAATTTCTTTTTACAAAAATTAACATGTGACATAGTTTTATAATCTTTGTCTCTTGAACAGTTATGTAGCTTAAACATGTGCCCATGCCAATGAATTCTTATCTGCATCTATTGGATGGCTCTATTATAACTAATTTAACTGATTTCCTTTTGTTAAGCATTTAGGTGGTTTTCAATTTTTCAAAATTATGAATAGCAAAATATACTTTCTTGTATCTTGGGTCATTCATTATTTCCTTAAGATTCATGACTAGGAGTGGAAAATCTGAGTCAAAGTATTTAGAGTAATTTTGCTACATATTGCTATCCATCTCAGAAATGTATGGATTTAGATTCTCAACCATCCAGCAGATTTTTTTTCCCTACTAACTCATAGTTGCTTTTCTTAAGACAAATGTAATTAAAACACATCAGTGAAAATACAGAGTTTAATTTGCTGACCTGTAATCAAGCTGAACTATTGAGCAAACCATTAATAAATGACTAATAAACTATGTTTGTTTAGTGATCTTCTGCCAGGCTCAATGGCTTATACCTGTAATCCCATCACTTTAGGAAGAGGAGACAGGAGGACTGCTTGAGCCCAGGAGTTCAAAACTAGCCTGGACAACAAAGTGAGACCTTTTCTCTACCAAAAATTAAAAAATTAGCCAGATGCGGTAGCATGCACCTGTGGTTTCGGCTACTCGAGCCTAAGAGGTAGAGGCTGCTGTGAGCCAAGATCGTGCCATTTCACTCCAGCCTGGGTGAAAGTAAAACCTTGTTTGAAAAAAAAAGAAAGAAAGGAAGGAAGAGAGAGAGAGAAAGAGAGAGAGAGACAGAGAGAGACAGAGAGAAAGAAAAAAAGAAAGAAAGGAAGGAGGGAAGGAAAGAAATGGTAATGGTCTTCAAGCTTTAATGTGCATGTGCATAAGAATCACATGGTGATTTCTGGGCTCTATTTCAGACACACTGACTTATACTCTAGGGGTCTCGGACCCAATAATTTTTTTTTTTTTTTTGAGACAGAGTCTTGCTCTGTTGCCCAGGCTGGAGTGTAGTGGTGTGATCTTGGCTCACTGCAACCTTCGCCTCCTGGGTTCAAATGATTCTCATACCTCAGCCTCCCGAGTAGCTGGGATTATAGGTGCCTGCAACCATGGTTCATCTTTTTATTTTTTATTTTTAGTAGAGATGGGGTTTCACCAAGTTAGCCAGTATAGTCTCAAACTCCTGGCCTCAAATGATCTACCCACCTCAGCCTCCCAAAGTGCTGGGATTATAGGTGTGAGCCACCAAGCCCAGCCAAGAATGGGCTTTTTTTTTTTTTTTTTTTTTTTGAGATGGAGTCTTGCTCTGTCTCCTAGGCTGGAGTGCAGTGGTGGAATCTTGGCTCACTGCAACCTCCGCCTCTTGGGTTCAAGCAATTCTCCTACCTCAGCCTCCCAAGTAGCTGGGATTACAGGCGTGTACCACCACACCCAGTTATTTTTTGTATTTTTAGTAGAGACAGGATTTCGCCATGTTGTCCAGACTGGTCTTGAACTCCTGACCTCAGGACATCTGTCCGCCTTGGCCTCCCAAAGTGCTGGAATTACAGGCATGAGCCACTGCGCCCAGCCAAGAATGGGCATTTTTAACAAGAGCCCCCTGCTACCATGTTACTGTGATCTAGGGAATTGGACTCGAGTTACTAGCTTAAGTATACACGCAAGGATAGGTCAAGAGTGTGCTGATTATGCACCTATTTAGCTTTTTTGGCCACATGAGGTCTGGTGACAGAAAGGGAATATTCACTTATTCTCTCTAGTCTTGGCCTCTTCTACCTCATTCTGTCCCTGTCTCTCTGACACACAGACATATACGGAGACACACACAGACACACACAGACACACACACACACACACACACACACGCTCGCTCGCTCTCTCTCTCTCTCTCTCTCTTTCTCTCTTTTGTGGAGGAAATGAACATTTTACTTTTGGGGATGCCCTTGCATCAGGCTGCTATTATCAGTTGGAATGAGTTGCTTTCTAGTGATGCCTGTTCAGGGCTTTCCGTTTTATTTTTATTTGCTTTCTTTTCCAAGCAGGTACCCTTGTTGTTCCTAACCAGTTAAGCACCTGAAAATCACTTGATTTTTCCTTTTCTGTAGAAACTCACTTTCAAGCATCCCAGAAGTTCTGCAGGGTGAGATTCCAGAAGACTGGAGGCAAATGAGTCCCGTGAAATTTTACGGGGCCTCTGAGAGGAGGCCCCTGGGTTGTCATCGCCTGTTAGCATGGCCTATCAAAATTCAAACTGGCTTTCCAGGTATTTTCCTTTCCTGGATAGCTCCCATTTGCCCAGCTTCGGGAAACAGCTTTGAATTTTCTCCTTGCAGGTCTATTTTTGACACAAAGGCTTCATTTTTCATAGAACCCTGCAGCTTTTCTATGTTTGGAGGCCTGGCAAAGGCATCAGACATGTGACCCTCCTAGTCAGGTCTGCCCTTGAAAAATGTATGCTGAGGGGAGGGTGAGGCCTTCCTTTCTCCCTGAGGCCTTGCTCCTACCCAGATGCCTGCCTGGGTCCACTGCCGAGTGTCCCAGCCAGCTGATGCATGTCCAGCCAGAGCAGCACCACCCACAGCATGTAGAGCTGACCTGTGTCTCATCTCTGGGTCAAGACTGTACAGACAATTTATTTTATTTTTTAAATTTTTCTAAAAAAAAAAAAAACCTGCTATCAATGTTCATGTATAAGTATTTGTATGGACATATGCTTTCATTTATTTTGAGTAAATAGGAGCAGAATGTCTGGGCTTTACGGTAAGCACATGCTTAACTTTTAAAGAAATGCGGCATCAAAGCACTATGTAGACTGATTTAAAAAAGGAAATAAAAAGAAATGGGGCAGTTAAAAACATCTCATTTTTAGTTGTCAAGTCTATGTTATATGTCAAGAATGTCATCTTGGCCGGGCGTGGTGGCTCAAGCCTGTAATCCCAGCACTTTGGGAGGCCGAGGCGGTTGGATCATGAGGTCAAGAGATCGAGACCGTCCTGGTCAACATGGTGAAACCTCGTCTCTACTAAAAAAAAAAAAAAAAAAAAAAAAATACAAAAAATTAGCTGGGCATGGTGGCACGTGCCTGTAGTCCCAGCTGCTTGGGAGGCTGAGGCAGGAGAATTGCCTAAACTCAGGAGGTGGAGGTTGCGGTGAGCCGAGATCGCGCCATTGCACTCCAGCCTGGGTAACAAGAGCGAAACACCGACTCAAAAGAAAAAAAAAAAAAAAGAATGTCATCTTTTATTAGATGTCAAGAATTCCAGCTTCCTTTTCCTGTAGTTCATTTGGAAAGAGAACTATTTTGAGTCAGAAGTCTGAGCCAGGACCCCTTGAGCTCAACAGTTCAAGACCTGGCCGGGCGCGGTGGCTCAAGCCTGTAATCCCAGCACTTTGGGAGGCCGAGGTGGGTGGATCACGAGGTCAAGAGATCAAGACCATCCTGGTCAACATGGTGAAACCCCGTCTCTACTAAAAATACAAAAAAATTAGCTGGGCATGGTGGCGTGTGCCTGTAATCCCAGCTACTCAGGAGGCTGAGGCAGGAGAATTGCCTGAACCTAGGAGGCGGAGGTTGCGGTGAGCCGAGATCGCGCCATTGCACTCCAGCCTGGGTAACAAGAGCGAAACTCCGTCTAAAAAAAAAAAAAAAAAAAAAAAAGAGTTCAAGACCTGCTTGGGCAACATAGTGAGACTTGTCTTAAAATAAAAAATAAAAAAAAAAAAAAAAAGAGTCAGAAATCGGGGCTTGGTCCAAGTAGCTTAGTTCTAAACTTGGATTTTGAAAAAAGGGTCATTTAGCTTTTTTGGAGCTTCAATTCCCTAGTCTTTAAATTGGGGTTAATAATTTCTTATGACAATCAGAAATTGGAAGTCTTAAACTTCATCAGTAGGTGACTGGGCAGGTGTATTGTATCCTTTTTTTTGAGACAGAGTTTCGCTCTTGTTACCCAGGCTGAAATGCAATGGCATGATCTCGGCTCACTGCAACCCCTGCCTCCTGGGTTCAAGCAATTTTCCTGCCTCAGCCTCCCAAGTAGCTGGGACTATAGGTGCATGCCACCATGCCCAGCAGATTTTTGTATTTTCAGTAGAGACGGGGTTTCACCATGTTGACTGGGATGGTCTCGATCTCTTGACCTTGTGATCCACCCACCTTCGGCCTCCCAAAGTGCTGGGATTACAGGCTTGAGCCACCGCACCTGGCCTGCATTGTATCCTTAGATTGGAATACTATACAATCATTAAAAATAATAATGTAGCTGGGTGCAGTGACTCATGCCTATAATCCCAGCACTTTGGGAGGCTGAGCTGGGAGGCTTGTTGAAGCCCAGGAGTTAAAGACCAGTTTGGGCAACATAGTAAGATCTCATCACCACAAAAAGTTTAAAAAGTAGCTGAGCTTACTGGAATGTACCTGTAGTCCCAACTACTGCAGAGGCTGAGGTGGGAGGATTGCTTGAGCCCAGGAGGTCAAGGCTGTAGCGAGCTGTGATTGTGCCACTGCGCTCCAGCCTGAGTGACAAAGCGAGACTCTGTCTCAAAAAAGCAAAAACCAGAAAATAAAGTTAAAATAAATAAAAATAATGACGTAAATCTATATTTACTGATGTGGAAAGCTGTTGTCAGTATACTCTCAGTGGAAAAAAAGCAGCTTAGAAAGGCAGAGTATGATCCCATTTAGTCAAATTATACAAATGGAAAAACAGATGAAAAACATATTTACTCAAATATTAATAGTGGTTATCTCTGACTAGTGAGATTTAGGGTGATTTTTACTTTCTTATTTTATAATTTCTATATTGCTTAATTTTAGTCGTGACAAGCATGTATGAGTCTTTCAAAAATAATAGAGCTATTAAAAAATAAACCAATGTAATTTGTTTTTCCTGAGAATGAGATAAGATAATATATGGATACATTAAAAAAACTATAAAAGTATTACTAGTGACATAGCAAAAAAAAAAAAAAATTGAGCCAGGCGCAGTGGCTCAAGCCTGTAACCCCAGCACTTTGGGAGGCTGAGGCGGGTGGATCACGAGGTCAAGAGATCGAGACCATCCTGGTCAACATGGTGAAACCCCGTCTCCCCTAAAAATACAAAAAATTAGCTGGGCATGGTGGCGTGTGCCTGTAATCCCAGCTACTCAGGAGGCTGAGGCAGGAGAATTGCCTGAACCCAGGAGGTGGAGGTTGCGGTGAGCCGAGATCGCGCCATTGCACTCCAGCCTGGGTAACAAGAGCGAAACTCCGTCTCAAAAAGAAAAGAAAAGAAAAGAAAACATTGAAATGAAATAATAAGGAAAAAAGTAAACCGTCATAAATTTAAGGTTTGTTTTTTTTTGGGGACAGAGTCTCACTCTGTTGCTCAGGCTGGAGAGCAATAGTGTGATATCAGCTCACTGCAACCTCCATCTCCTGGGTTCAAGCGATTCTCCTGCCTCAGCCTCCTGAGTAGCTGGGATTACAGGAACGTGCCACCATGCCCAGCTAATTTTTGTATTTTTGGTAGAGGCGAGGTTTTGCCATGTTGGTCAGGCTGGTCTTAAACTCTTGACCCCAGGTGATCCACCCACCTTGGCCTCCCAAAGTGCTGGGATTACAGGTGTGAGCTACCATACCAGTCAAGTTGTTGGTATTAATACTAGTATTTATTAGCTGAGTCTCCTCTAAAAGGATCTTGAAAATCATCAAATTAATCCCATAAAAGAAAGTAATAATGGCTCCTTACAAATACAAGTAGGTTGAACATAGTAAAAATGTAAAATCTTTAGGCTTGAAAGAGGCTGGGTGCAGTGGCTTATGCCTAAAATCCCAGCACTTTGGGAGGCTGAGGCAGGAGGATTGCTTGAAGCCAGGAGTTCAAGGCCAACCTGGCCAATATAGCAAGACCCTTTCTCTATTAGAAAAATAATAAAAAATAGGCCGGGTGCGGTGGCTCAAGCCTGTAATCCCAGCACTTTGGGAGGCCGAGGCGGGTGGATCACGAGGTAAAGAGATCGAGACCATCCTGGTCAACACGGTGAAACCCCATCTCTACTAAAAACACGAAAAACTAGCTGGGCATGGTGGCGCGTGCCTGTAATCCCAGCTACTCAGGAGGCTGAGACAGGAGAATTGCCTGAACCCAGGAGGCGGAGGTTGCGATGAGCCGAGATCGCGCCATTGCACTCCAGCCTGGGTAACAAGAGCGAAACTCCGTCTCAAAAAAAAAAAAAAAGAAAAATAATAAAATGAAAATAAGGACTGAAAGAAATCTGGAGTAAAGAGAAGGGCACAAGTCTCTTTCTAAGCCTTGGGTTAAATCTTGGCTTTCTCAACATCTGTATCTCTTTGAACATGGTATTTAAACTTTTAATTTCTAGTTCCTGATCTGCAAACTGAAATAATAATAATTATCTCATTCTGTTGTGAGGATTAAATGAACCAAATTACTTAATGTGATGGACTCTGACACATTGGAGAGGTCATTAAATATTTGTTCTATTTTTTCTCCTTTTCTTTCTTAACTTTACCTGAGATGCAGACAGCAAGATGTTGTACACATTGGAGCCCAGTTAGTAAAAAAGAGTGAAAAGAATGATTATAAAAAAAATGGGAGAGGCTTTGTTTTTTTTTTGTTTTTTTTTTTTTAACGTCGGGGGAGAGATAAGGAGTTCATGTTTACCTGGAGGATGTTTGACTTGGCAAACTAAAGAGACCAAGAAGAGAAGGGGGGGAAAAAAAAAAAAGAAAAGAAAAGAAGAATGGACTACTTCTGGATGTATCTAGGCCAGGGGATGTGAGATAAAGACAGTCAGGTTTTCGTCTGCATTCTCCCATTCACTGCATTAGGAAAAAAAGAGACTCAGGGGCTTGGATGCTTTGTCCAGAAGAAAAAATAGTACAATAGGCTGGTGCCTTCCATTGCGTAGCTCTTGAGTAGGGTAGCAGGGTAGAAGAACTGGAAAAACCCCAAATATGGGGGTCTGGTCCTTTCCCATCATACTTTGGGAGGATATTGAAAGTGGAGGGCTGCTCTTCAGCCTCACCTGTTCACTTCCCAGAGAAATATATCCTGCCAAGTAGAACCTAGATTGTATTTCCTTTTCCTGGAGTGACTTCTAGGTATGTTTTTGTGGTCAGTACAGTGAACAGGAAGGAGCAAAAGGAGCCAGGGTCTTGGCCAGGTGCAGTGGTGCACACCTGCAATCCCAGCACTTTGGGATGCTGAGGCGGGTGTCTATTAAGTGTGCA